CTCATGATGGCTTTGATACGCTTATAAAAAGAGAGACCAGGCAGCTTGTCTCTGTCTGTCTGTCTGTCTCCCTGCCAAGTGAGGACACAGAGAGAAGACAGCCACCTGCAACCTGAGCTTTCACCAGAAACCGGTGGCACTTCAGTCTTGGACACCTGGCCTCCAGGACTGCAAGGCATCTTCTGTCAGGAAGCCCGGGGATATCTTTTCAGGCCACCCCAAGCTGACTAGTGTCCCCTCAGAACAAGCACAGCTCGGAGGGGACAGGGAGAGGGAGGCAGGACCCCAGGAGCCAGAGCTGCAGGGCCCAGCAGGGCTCAGCAGTGAGAAAGCCTGCCCGTGGGGTCAGACACAGCGGTTCCATGCTGCTTTATGACAGCAATTAGCATCGACACGGGAGGAAGAACGCTCATGTCCAAGGTCCCTGACATCAATTTTAACACTTCAGCACTGCACGCGCGGAGTTTAAAAAGTCAACTAGCTGGACCGTGTGGCTCACCACGGCAGGGCCCCGGCTCCCACCAGCTCCCACCGCACACTCAGCTCTTTTCGCTCTTTCCTCTTATTTAACAAATAAATCTGCATGTCCTGCCGTTGCTTGACTTACCCATTTTTAAATATTACTCATGCACTTCCTTTATCCCCCAGCGACGGAGCACCTGGAACACTTCCAGAGGGCTCCGCTGGGTCAGGCGATCCATGTGTCAGTTCTGTGCCCTTTCTCACCCCCGTGCTGTGGAACCGCTGTGCAGGCGGGAAGACAGAGGCACAGGGAGATGGAAGAAGTGACCCCAGAACAAATCAGGGGCAGAATCAGACTCTGCCCCCAGGTCTGCCGGCCTCCTTGCTCATACCTGGGGCTCACACACAGACCCTCGGGCTCCTCGTTCTTGGCACCACACACATCTGGGGCTGGGTAATTCTTTCCGGTGGGGTGAGGGTGCGGGGGAGGCCCTATCTGGTGCACCGTGGGGAGTTTAATGACACCGAGGACCCATACCTGCTGGATGACAGTGGCACCCCTGCCTCCCAGGTATGACAATCAAAAACCTCCCAGGACATTGCCAAATGACCTCTAGAAGGGAAAGCCACCCCAGCTGAGAACCACTGATGTATCAGAAGCTTTGGCTGGACTTTCGGTTGCTGCATTGGGCTGGGAAACAGGGCTTTGCCTTTCAGGGTCCCGCTCTGCCTGATGCCCTCCCTACAGGGTTAGGGGTCTGCAGAGCCAAGCACACATGCCACCTGGAGCGCTCCACCTTTCTGCACCACACTGCACTTTCCAGGGCCTGTGTGGGCCTGTGGCCAGTGCTCTTGGCTGCTGGAGTGTGTGTTCCCACCCCTGAGAGGTGGCCGAGGGTGTCGTCCAGGGCGGAGGGAGGCGGACAGAGCTGGATGTGCAAACTAGGTGGACCCAAGGCCCCGCCACTGCAGGAGGGTTGGTGCAGGGGGTGGGGGGAGGAAGGCCCTGCTGCTGCAGGAGGGTCGTCAGAGGGGGGAAGGAAGGGCGGTGGGCTCTGGGTGGAAGCCTCCCTTTGTATCTGGATTCACCTGCAGACATTAGGGCCGGCCTGCCCCAGCCCCAGCTGCAGCTGTCACGGGCTGGGGGCAGGGAATATGGCTATATTTCACACATCAGTCCGAAGAATCTAGTCACTTCTTTTTGTGGAAAAAAGGTACTGAGTGCTCATACGCCTCTCTCTTTGCTTCCTCTTCCCCTGATCTCCCAAGGAAGCTCCAGAATAAGTGCGGCTAAGTCCATATTCCACGCTTACATTATCACTATGGAAACGAATGTTTACTGATGGGCACGTTGTGTTCTTTCATTATGTTGTCCCTTGAATAAATGTTTGTGTCTTGTTCTTCGTGTGTTTAATTTCCCCACGTCCCTCGTTTGTCCCCAAACCTCACAAAACTAGGGACTTGCTAGACACTCAGTGCCCCCGTTTGCGCTTGCTCTCTCTCCCCGCCCCCCTTTCTCTCCCTCTCTCTCCCCCACACCCACCTCAGCAGCCTTACAGCCAGCACGTGAGGCCTCCTTTCGAGGTTGCTTTGCAAGCCCCCTTGCTCTTCCCCACAGAAGGGTCTCCTTCTTTCTGGATCCCATTCCCTCCCTGTCTTGTTTTGCTCCTTTGTTGAGGCGGAACGCATTTTTGCCAGGAGCTTTCTAAGAAAATGTAGGTGGGAAATTCGTGGACCTGCCAATGTTTTTATTCTCCCCTCACGGTTGATTGACAGTTTGACCGGGGCAGACGTCAGGGTCTTTTTCTGCCAGTCCCTGAAGGACGGCCTCACTGCCTTCCAGCTTCCAGCGTGGCTGCTGAAAAATTCAAATTTTTGGATTTTTCACTTTTTTGTATGTTGCTTGGATTCTCCTGTTTTCTTGGGTAGCTTTGAGGTTTTCTCTTTGTCGGCTATGTCTTGAAATTGCACAGTGATGTACATTTAGGTGGGTCTTTTCCATGATACTGACCTTGGGTAGACCCTTCCAATCTGAAGAGTGCCCGGTGGCTCTTCCGCCAACTTCTCTCTTACTCCCAGGCACATGTGCAGAGGACTGTGGGTAAGGGGAGAGTGTCTGCCTACAAGCATTCAAGTTCACTGTGTTTTAAAGCAGCACCATGCTGGCCGAAACAAGTTTGCCAGCCAAGTGCAGCCTCTGAACCCTCCACTGAAGATATGGTTAGGAGTACAGGCTTTGAAGACAGACAGACAGACAGCTGTGGCTTTGAATCTTAGCTTCTTATCTGTAAAACAGAAATGTCATAAGAAATATATGAAATAATGCAACAAAAGCTCTTAGTGCAGGGCATGGCAGGTAGCAAGTGGTTAATTTATAACAGCTGCCATTATTGTGGGGAATCAGGAGTGATGGTGACCAGTTTTTTTTTTAAAGCACTCTCTTGTTAAGCCGATTTATGAGGTCACTCACGTGTGGAGCAGTGGCGCCACCTGGGGGTCATAATTAAGAACTGCAGTGTAGCACATCCAGCAGAATGGTTAGGAGCCAAGTTGGGCTTTGGGGTCAAACAGACAACGGCATTCGTGATCCTGGAGAAGGAAGTCAAGGAGGTTTGAGGTGCTAAGGGGAAGAGACAGGATTCAAACTGGCGATCTGATTTCACAGCTATTGCCCCGAACTGCACTGCTGTTCCACCACATCAGTGTCTGACTCACAGCCACCTGACTCCACCGAGTGCGGGGCTTCCCTTCTCTTGGAGGGCCAGCAAGACGGGGCAGAGGAGTGCAGAGGGAGAGAGAAAGTCAGCCTCCACAGAATTTTTGCAAAGAAAAAAATCGAGAGCCCGTTTCAATTTCAGCACGTGCAAGTGTGGTGTTGGACAGCTTGGGTATTGTTTTTATTTTGAGTTACATATTCGAAGTGGGCCATGTAATTTCTGCAGGCTTGAGGCCTGCAAAGGTTGTGATCAGGCTGGTTTTCTGTTACATGCAGCCCAAAGCACCTCTCGCAGCACAGCCAGATCCTCTGTGGGCCCATCAGAGGTCATGAAATCCCCTTCTTGCTACGAATCCCAAATCTGTATCCCACGGGTCCAGGGCCCCCTTCTTTTGTCTCGCCAGGAAGAGTCCTGCTGAGCCCCCAAGCCAGTGGTCAGTGATCGCAGGCCCCGGCAAGGCCCACGTGGTGGTTTTAAGTTCTGCTGTGGCAGAAGACACCTCACACGAAGCCAGACTTGGCAGAGGACCAGACAAAATGCGTGGAGCTGCTATTGGCCTGGACTGGGAGAGATAGGAGCCAGGCTGTGTTGCACCTGAGCCACTAGGGGGCGCCCGATTCCAGCCAATCTTACCTGACTCCTACAGGGACTCAGGAATGAGCCTTGTCAAACCATCCAAAGTGATTCTGATATAGCCACCCTGCTGATAGGGATTCTGATAGGGACCCCCTCACTCCCATTTTACACACACACACGCACAGCCAGTCTGCAGACCAGCCAACTGAACTGGGTTGGCTGCTCACCCACTTCCTCATGGAGTATATTATCAAAGCCCTGGGGGTTAGAACTCTCCTCAGCCCCACACACCACCCACCCCTCCAGGGGTCCCTCCAACTCATCCTTCTTCCTGGTGATCTTTGGATCACTCTGGGGGTTGGAAAACCTCTTTATCACCCGTAAGATACATCCCATCCTCATTACTGCACTGCCTGTGAACAAGGCAATGGATGCCAATTTTAGCCTCCTTGGCAGAAGAGGAAACTGAGGCACAGACAGATGGATGACTGATATACAGCAAGTCGGTGGCGGCACTGGGGAAGGAACCAGGACACCTGACCATTGAATCATCCTGGACTCGCCTGAATTTGAGTCTATCGATGAGCGAGGGATAATCAAACACTTAATGAAAAGTGTTGACTCACAACACAACTTCTTTCTTGCCACCAACTTGCTGTGGGACCTCGGAAAGTCTCTTCTCTGTAGAGTCCGAAGATGGCTTCTGGGTCCCCCTGAGACTTTCTGTAACTGACTGACTAGACCCCGAACTATCTCCACCCACCTGGGGCTTCCGAAGTCATCAATCAAAACGGGCAGGGCTAATGCCAGGACTGTAGCGCCACAAGTCTCATTCCCAACTGAGCTCTACAGCTGGGCTTTATGTAAGCTTCAGCACTGATGTAATCCTTGCCACCACCTCAGGTGCTACCTGGTTCTACCTCCTTCCCCATTTTACAGATGAGGAAACTGAGGCTCAGAGAAGTAAAATAAGTGGGTGAGAAAGACTGGGGCCCAGGAGGACCCAACCTCAAAGGATGGGCTCTTTATTCTACCAGATGCTGCTCAGGGAAGCTTCTGGAAGTCAGCTTTAGAGATTCAGGGTCAGCCCTACAAGGTTCGTGGCCTTTGAGCCGCCCCTCATGAGGTATTATGGGAACAGTAACAGAGAGATGGAGCCTGGGCCAGCATGGCCCAGAGGCCCCCAGCCCCTCCCGCATCAGTCCAGCATCCTGGACCCACAAGCAGACACCACAGCCCGTCAGAGCCTGTGAGCAGATGCAGGTTTATTAATGCACAGACCGCAGCTTCCTGAGTCCTTGCCCCACACATGAGCCCCCAAACCAGGCCCGGGAGCTGATGGCCCTGGGCCAGACCAAGAAACCTGGACTATGACCCAAGAGCCGGGGCCTGGACCCGATCAGCCCTGAGTGGTGCCTCCAACCTGCCCTCCTCATTCCCTAGGAGTCCAGAAAAGCCGAAACACTGATGCAGAGCTGAAGGCCTTGGCCAGTGGAGGATGGGAGAATCCACAGGCTTCTGTTTACGGAAATGCAGTCCACGAGGTCCCAGCAGGACTTGAAATAGCAAGTGTGACACTGGACCCAAGTATTCAGGGGGGAGGAAAAGCAGACCCCATCAGAAGTGAACTTCCAGTTGCAGACCTGGCCTGGGGAGGCCGAGTCACAAGTTCAAGGCCCCCAGGTCCATGGAAACAAAGGCAGGAGAGTGGCAGCCCCTCCAGCTCTGTCTGGATGTCATCGCCAAGTCCTTCCCCAGCTTGGAGGGGTGTGGAACACTCTCTTCATCCTCCCAGGGGCAGAGGCCACCAACCCTCAGCTTCGACCGTCCCCCTGCTGGCATTCAGGACTAGACACCCAGTGTGGTACCAAACTTCTGTAAGGAGCTACATGCAAACCTCTTCTGCCACACAAGCTGAGGGGCTTATCATCATGCGGACCACCCTGGGTGGGGAAGCACTGGAGTTGCTCCTCTGGCCCTGGGAAATGCCTGGTGACCAGCAGCCTGTCTTCAGCGCCTGCCTGAATGTGGGCCCCAGGGAAATCTGCTTGGTCTTCCCAAGGCTTCCATGTTCAATGCCCCCTGGTGGGCCCTGGTGGGGGAAGCAGCCAAACCAATCCACAGGGCGTAGCAGCAGCTTTGTCTCGCCAACCCCAGGGCTCCTGCACAGTGACCCCTCGCACCCTGAGCACACTGCAAGCCCTAAATGCAACGCCAGCCCAGGCTCAGGCACACACACATTCAAGGGCCGTCCAAACTCCCCTTAGCCCTTCTCCCCACCCCCACCCCTGGCCACCTGGTCAGTGGCCTCCCCACCAAATGCTCCAGCCCCTCCTGTGTTCTCCTCTTCTCTTGGTCAGGAAGGGAGGGGAGCTAGCTGAACAGGTGGGAGGAGACAGGAGCACTGGGTCCTGGAATATGCAAACCGAGCGTGTCCGATTCCTCTACTGCCACCCAGAACACCTGTAAGCAGGGGACAGCGTGTGTGCTGGCTCACGACAGTGAAAGGAGGGGACTCCGCACTATCCGAGAGCAGAGGGTCTCCCTGACTGCTGACCCACCCCAGGGGTCTGTCAGCCCAGCAGCCAGAGGTTAAAATAAAGCGGGAGAAGGGAAGCAGGAAGGGAGCTGGGATTTAATTAATATTCTGGTTTGGTGACTTCTCCCAAAACACACAAAAGCCCAAGGAGGGAGTGACCTAGGGACAAGGTGAAGGAGTGAATGAGCATGAGGGACAGGAGCAGATCAGGGCTTTCCCCGCCCCTGGGCAGAGCTCCAGGAGGGTTTCCAGCACATTCTAGGCCTCTGGGAGGCCCGCTTCAATGTTCTCAGTGTGGGTGTGAGCCGGGACCCAGGGCTCTGGTCCGGAGTCCAGTCCTCCTTGGCCGCCCCTCACAGAAAGGTGGGGCTTGCGTCCTCCGCAGGAACTCCTCGCTCTGCAGAGAGACAGCAGAGTCAGGTGCAGCAGGGAGGGAGGGTGCGCGGAGGCGCGGCCAGGTTCAAGGCAGGGTTCGAGCTTCAGGGGTGAGATCCTCCCACCGCCCCCCAAACCCCTGGGGTAGCTTTGTCCCGTGACCGAGACTTGGTGGGATCGGAGACAAGTCCCTGGGGCCTCTTCTGGCCTCACAAGGCACAGCTTCGTCCTCCCTCTGGACGCTGCCTCTGCTCATTTGCCCGTGCTGTTCCCTTCGGCCGGTTCACCGCTTCCCTCCCTCCTCCCCCACGGCCAGCTGGCTCACCCCTTTCCGTCCTTCAGAGCATTAAGTCCTCAGTTCCTGTAGCTCTCATTCCCAGACCCCCTATGAGACACGCAGCATTCGCCCCCAGGCCAGCACCCACCAGGCCAATATTGTCATTGGCTGTGTTTACACGGTGACAGGACAGGGAGGGATTCCTCCCCTCCTCTGGGACTGGGTCTGGTCCCCAAGCCCAGGGCTAAGCCAGGATCAAGGAGGGAGGGCCTCTGGTGGGGGCAAAATCCTGTTAGCATCACCAAGCAAGCACAGCAGTCACCCCGTGAAGCCTGGTCCTGGCAAGAGAAAGATTCTGTCTTGTAGATGCTGCATCCTGAGACCTGTGAGGGCCACTTTCCTTTCACTCAGCCCACTTCACCCACCCCCACCGCCCCATTCATTGCTCTCCCAGCTCCATCATAGGGCGGAAACCGACTGAGGAAGCCGACTGACTGACAGAGGGGTTTGGGGAGAAGAGCTGGGGGCTGGGGGGACAGAGAGAAAGGGCGGCTGGGAGAGGAAGGTTCGGCCGCCCCAGGTGAATGCAGCCCTGACCTGTGAGGGTCTTGGGGGAAGGGGCAAGAACGGTTTTCCTTGACATTGAGCCACAGGACTTTTGCTGAATGTGCTGTAAATTGAGGGTTTGCTCCCACTGTGTTCCCCACACCCACAACCTCGTTTCTCAGGACAGGAGCGAGTCCCCACTACATCCCTACACCCCAGCCAAGCAGTTGCCCAGTAAATGTCAGTCACACGAATAAATACATGAGCGAAGCCCCCAGTGCACACCGGGCGGAAAGCAGGTGCTCTGCTAAGGAGAGCCGTGTGCGTGTGTGTGTGAGCGCACACTGGTCCTCCCTCATGTGATCTGTCAAAACCACATCCCAGGTCCCTGTCTCCAGTGGGGATGGGCCTCAGTGAACGGCAGGACAAAGGTCCAGTGGGCAGCAGGCCCTTTTATCCAGCATTCCGACACCCAGGTGCCCAGAACCTTCCTTGGGCTTCCGCCGGCTCCTCCCAGCATACCTGGCAGATGAGGGTCAGGTGAGGAGGTGAACGAAGAGGATGGCCAGGCCGATGTTAAGCAGGATCACCATACAGATGAGGACGGTGTTGGGGACCTGGGAGCACAGACAGTGGCTGCTGAGTGCCCATGGCCTCTGAATCAGCCCCCCCCCACCCCTGTCCCAGCAGGGTGGGCAAGGGGCAGGGACTTCCAGAAGGACCCTCCTGAGAGCACCTTCCTGTTTTGTTCCCTGCAGGGACCAGCACCTGGACAGCAGGCCATCGGAGCTGGAAGAACTCTTGAAAATAATTAACCAAACCGCTCAGGGCCCAGAGCAGGGCAAGAGCGCGCCCCAAAGCTCACAGTGGGCCTGGAGCCCAGGAATGTGGCCTTCCCCACTGATTCCTCCAGGGCCACTCTCATCAGTCTCTGGGAGCCACGCTTCGCTCACTGTTGCTGCAATCCCTGGCTCCCCAGCTCCTCTGACAAGCTGGGACCCAAGCCCTGGTGGGCCCTTCCACCACCCCCAGGAAGCCCTCCCTGCTACACCTGTAGCAGTGCTGCTGGTGCCCACTGGGAATGCCCTGACCCTGCAGGTGCACCCACTCCACCCCCAGCTGCTCGGGGCTCCCAGCTGCTCCCTTTTCCAAAGAACTGCCCCCTGCTGACCAGGGAACAGGTAAAAGGCCAGCCCCCTGCCCCACTGTGGGAGGTAGGATTTACACTCCCAAGTAGTGCAATTTACACTCCCCTGTAGTGCAATTTACACTCCCAAGTCTACAGGGGATCAGGCTGCACTAGACTGAGCCCACAACCCTGCTAGGGTCTCCCCCTGCTCCGTCCTGTCCCGTCACCCTCCCCACCGAATCACCCACCCCCAGTCCTGACTGAAGCTCAGCCACCTGTAGAGACTGGACCTTGGACACCTCCTTCTGCCACCTGCCTCACCTCCTCCACCTCCACCGCGGCCTCGGCCACCAGCGCTGCCTCCTTCCGAGACTTCTTTTTGGCCCCAGCCTTGGTCAGCCCTCGGGCCTCAGTCTTGCGGGCCTTGGCCTTGGGCTCGGCTTTGGGGACGATGGGCTTGGGTTCCAGCTTGGCGGGGGGCTCGGGCGCCGGCTCTGGCTCTGGGGCCTGAAGCGCAGGGATCTGCACTGGGGCGGTGGCCGGGGTCGAGGGCGCGGAGTCAGACTCGTAGACCTCGGGCGAGGAGGGCTCTTCCTCTACGGGCGGCGGCGTGGAGGGGACCGTGCGCACCGCGTAGCTGTGGTACCCCTGGTACAGCGCCACCTCCGGCTCCCGCGAGGGCGCGGGCGGCGCCTGCAGCGCCTCGATGGCCATGTGCTCCGTGGCGGGACGCGCTGGGCTGCGGCGGCCCCCGGACGGCGTGACCGGCCGGCTGCCCTCGGTGCCGGACTCGCCGTTCCAGGAGCCTGGGCTCAGCAGGCCGTCCCTGGTCGCCCCCGGGCGGGGCCGCTTGGGCTGCGGGGGTGTCCCGGCCGGCGACGGGGGGCCACCGTGGGGCCGCGGGGTCTCGCGCTCGTGCAGCTGCGGGCTCTCGCGGGGCCGCTCCGGGAGGCCAGCGGCGCCGGGAACCCGGTCGGGGGCCTCCAGCAGACTCTCCGAGTTCTCTAGGATCTCCTGGAGCAGTCGGCGCTTCTGATACTCCGGACCTGCCGGGACGGGAACACCAGGAGAACGAGTTCGAGTCGCGGGCCCACCGCTGGGCGGCCCTGGGCAAGCCACTTAACCTCGTGAGCCTCGTCTCTTTGCCCGGCACTGTTTGGCGCAGTTTCCAAATATGAGCTCACTTAATAGTTTTAATAACCCTGCGAGGTCGATGCTGTCAAGCTCCATGTTACAGATGAAGAAACAGAGGCTCAGAGAGATGAAATCACTCGCCCAAAGTCACCCAGCAGACAAGGGCAGAGTGAGGACTAGCCAGACCCGGGGAGTCTGGCTCCTGACTTTATGTTCTGAACGGTGACACTGGTCTCTTTCCTCCCTTATCTGAAAAGTTAGTTTAATCACACCTAATAAAATGATTAATTGGGTGAAAAAATGCAGGGCCGGTCACACAAGTGACGGCTGTTGCTATGACCCCCGCCCCCTCCTCAAGGCAGGGGCAGCCAGCCAGTGTCATTCTCCCTGGGGCCAGCAGGGGGAGCACCGGAACCAGAAGCGACATAGCCTCCCCAGGCACAGACCTGTGTTCCAAGCTCTGATGTTCAGAAAACAAATCCAATCGTGCCACTTGCCTTAAAACATTTCAAGCACAAACAATATCCCACCCTGAGGAGCTCCCACCACTCCATCCAAGTGCAAGGTCTGTGTGAGAGGCAGGAGGTCCTCCTTACTCTGCAGCCTTATTTCTCAGGAAGAAGAGGCAGCCTAGAGTGGGGCCAGCCCACAACTGGGGGCCCCTGACACCCACCCCACAACCTCAGTGTGAGTCCCCCGTGTCACACCATCCCATGCTCGCACCTGCCCCAGTTTCTAGAACTCACAGGCAATCATGAACTCACTTGGGCATGTCAGCTTTCCAGCAAAGAAAAAAGAAAAATGTCCACTCCCAGGGACACCCCCCACCCTGTCCCGTCTGTCCCCTCCTTGGCTGGCCCTACCTGGCTGGTAGAAGTCCGGCGCCAGCTCCCGGGCCAAACTGCGGGCAATGTTGGATTCTTGGTTGGCGGCCAGAGCGGCCTGTTCCGCAGCCTCAGCTTTGGCCTTGGCATGGCTTGTCCTAGGAGACAACATGGTGGAAACTCAGGATCCCTCCAGAGAACCAGCCCTCGGCCCCTCCTGCCCAACTCATAGAAACACCCTGGACAGAGCGTTCAGTCACTCAGGCTGTCCGTGAATATTCACTGAGCCCTGTGGGCCACACTGCTGTGCATTCCCCAGACCATTTCCTCTTTGTTCCGGGCACACAGATACACATTTTCCAGCCTCCTTTGCAGCTAGGGGTGGTCAGGCTGAGTCTTAGCCAATGCACTGTGGGAAGAGGTGAGGGATGCTCTTTCCAGGCCTGGCCCATGGGAACCTCTCCTGCTGTTGGTAAAAGGCAGAGGAGGAGAACAGGGTGCTCCTGAACAGGGTACTTGATCTTTTCTGGGTCACAGACCCCTTTAGCATCCAGCAATGCCTGTGGACCCCTTCTCAAAAGGTTTTAAAATGCATAAATGACATAAGATTTCAAACAGATGCAATTATATTGACATAATCAACCAAAATACTTAAAAGAACAAATTTGTAATGCAACATTAAACAAAATATCTAGCGGGTCTATTATCTACGATAATTTTAAAGTACAGGTTATCATCAAAGATATTTCCAGGATACCTGAAACAGTAACAGTAACATGACGTGAAAATATACGAGATTTATACTGGTGACAAAGTCACAGGTACTGCTAATACTATTGTAGTTTATTGCCTATTCCCATAATTGAAGAAAATGCTAAATTTCAGTTAGAGGCTAGTAAAAATAAAGATGCCGTTTTCCCATCTCTTATACACACTTCCGGCACTCTGCCCTGATCCCTTTATTGGGCAGATGCACCCACCCCGAGGTGTTGTGTTGGCTCCTGATGGCTCAGTGTTGTCCCGGAGAATCGTTACCAATAGAAGCTATCTTGTTCCAAGGTCAAAACACTCCCCCCACCTCTGCCCTGCCACCAGACAGCCCACAACCAATGACTGATGACACCCCCAGTTCCCTATCACCCCAAGAGGAGCTAACTCTGTGGTGCAACCCAGGCACCAGGGTCCCTGTGGCAGGCAGGACGCCAGGTAGGGCCCCATCCATGCGTGGCTACTTCTCCGTCAAATCCTGCTTTTTTCACTCTCCTCTCCGCAGACAGTGTTCCCTCATTAACTGTGTGCACGAAAATCTCTGTCTCAGACTCGGCTTCTAGGGAACCTCCCCTAAGACAGCATCCAAGTTCATGGACTGCCCTGGATGCCACCCAGAGAGACCCCTGAAGACCCCCAGTTAAGAAATGCAGTGGAAGGAACCTGGGTCCATAAAAGGCCGTGGCACAGAGCGAAGTCCCTCCCACAGTCCCGCACTGGAACATTTAAGCACTGAAGTTAAACACCAAATGTGGGACATTTTTTTAAGCACCTGAACATTTTAATTACAATTTATTCTTTTTCTAATGTGGAACATTTAAGCAAGTCTTAAACATCTATAGCATTAAGCACCTGAGATTCCAGGGATGTTTGTTTTAGCTGTTAGTCTAGCCTAAGAGAAGCACCTATTAAAATAATAACAGCCCCATTTATGAATGGGCCGGGCACTGGTCTACAGGATTTTCGAAGATTATCTCACGTAATCACCACGATGCCTTAGAAAGCCAGTGCTGTTATTATACTCCCTTTGTACAGAAAGGGAAACTGAGGCACAGAGAGGTTAAGTGACTTGCCCTCAGACATAACGTCACTAAGTGCAGGAGCTGGGACTGCGAACCCGGGCATCTTCAGAGCCTGTGTGTGTGAGCAGGTGCCACACTGGGCCAGGGGCCCAGGATGGACAGGAGCCATGGACGAGACAAGCCCGGTCCTCCCCGCACTGTCAAACAAACAGCGAAAATCATGTAATACAACGTAACTGAATGCAAAGCGCTTTACTGCAGTTGTAAGACATGCCGGGAAGGAAGCACAGGGAGTGCACTGAAAATGTAGAAAAGAAAGACAGGACAGAGCTCAGCGGTGGGGGTGGGGTGGTCAGGGAAGGCTTCCTGGAGGATGTGACATTTAAGTCCAGACCTGAAGACACACGTAAAGGAGGCCATAGAGGTGGGGTGGGGACAGGCAGAGGGAAGAGCATGCACAAGGCCCTGAGAGGAGGTAACGACTCGGTGCCTCGGGGGAGGTGGAAGGTCTGCTCAGCGTCCACTTGTGCAGGTGAGCTGATCCCTCAGGAAGCTGATTCGCCTGCATCTCCGTACCTCGGTCTCCAGCACAGAGCTGGGCCCCCAGCGAGGGGGGGAAGTTTCATTAAGCTCCTCCCACGTGCCAGGCCCTTGCGTTTTCCCTTTGGGCCCTAAAAACTGCCTGGGGATTGTTTTCATGTCCCTACCTCACAGGTGGGGACTCTGGGTCTCAGACATCTTGCCCGTAATAGTTAACACTGACAAAGCACTTACCACCTGCCAAGGGCTTCACAGAACTTAACTCATTTAATTCCCCCAGTAACTCCACGTGGCAGATGTTACTACCATCATCCCTCCTGACAGAGGAGAGATCCGGGGCGCGGGAGTGTTTTAAGGATGTCGCCCAAACTTACACAGCCAGCCAGTGACAGAGTGAGATTTTGCAGCAAGGCATTCTGGGATCTAGAGTCTGTGTCCTTTAGCCTCTGCCACAGGCCAGGTTTCCACTCATAGTGAGTGGTGCAGGTCAAGTCCAGAGCCGTCTGACTCCCACGCCCCTGGCCTCTCCACTCTGCAGTACTGCTCCAGGAATACTTTTTTTTTTTTAAGTGGGAAAGAAACATTAATGTGTTGTTGCCTCTTGCATGTCCCCCTGGGGGACCTGGCCCGCAACCCAGGCATGTGCCCTGACTAGGAATTGAACCGGTGACCCTTTGTTTTGCAGGCCCGTGCTCAGTCCACTGGGCTACACCAGCCAGGGCTGCTACAGGAATATTTTATCAAATGAAAGTGTACTACGTGAACACACACATGCACGTGTGGACGGGCAGGCGGGGCAGTGCAGGGGACAGTGAAGAGCGTGGCTTCGCTATCAGCAGCCCAGGGTTCCAGTCTTGGCTTCACCAAGGCTGGGGCCAGGTCGAGTCATTCAGGTCAGGCTCTAAATTGAGGGGGAAGCCAAAAAAACGTTGGTAACCTGGATAAATTGTATTTTAAGGCAATCGTTTTAAAAGTTAAAATTCATGCAAAAAAACTCCTCAATGAATACACCAGGAACAAATGTAAATAAAGGCTCCACCCCTGGACCTGCAGGGGTCGCTCCACTCTCCCCACCCTTGTTCCACGCCCCCCAGGGCTCTGGCGCCTCCGGTCTGTGGCTTTGCCTGTCTGTGCCTCAGCGTCTTCATCTGTAGGCTACTGATTCTCCCCTCTCGGAGTTGCTGTGAAAACTGAGGCAGCACATGAAAATGCGTAGCCCGGGGTGGGACTGAGTGGTGATGACGATGGTGGTGGTGGTGGTGAAGGAGAGAAGGTAAAAGAAGAAAAGACATTGGTGACCCCCGACTCAGTGCGGAACGTGCATGTCCCCAGGCTCGTGCTGGCCTGTCCGTGGGTGCGTGTGATTCAAAGTTCTCAGCTTTTCAGAGACGCTTCTCTGGAAACCTGAACCCCAGGTGGGGGGAGCAGGGACGGGGCTGGGCGCACCTCCCGGCTGAGAAAATGTCCTTTTTTGGTCACGCGAGCGGGCGAGGCTGGTTTCCTGGTGCTCCAGAGTCCCAGCCTTCACACGGAGCCCTGGAAGGTTCTGTAATTCATCTGCGGGCCCTCCACGGAGCCGGATCGGGGGCTGAGAGCGGGGCAGCTCCAGAGCGCACTCCTGTCGTGCCCATCAGTCTGAATTCTCTATCAGCCCCCCTCTTCCATGCCCCAGATTTCTGGTACGGCTCCCCTACACCCCAGCCTTCAAGCCAGGAATCCCAGGGGTCGCCTGCCCTCTGTCCCCTTCACCCTCATCTCCTCTCAACATCCACAGCTGTCGATCACCCCCTCCTGTCTGTTCTGCTCCCTCTGTGGCTCTTGAATTTGCCCATCTCTCCGCAACTTCTGTCACCCCCCCTGCCATGCCCCCACCACCCCCATCCCTGCCCCCAGACCACTCCCTACGACTGATTGCAGGCAGCAGCACCTGGAGGGGTGGCGAGCTTTGCAGCCTTACAGCCAACGGCTTCACCTGTTACTTAAAATATTTGCAAGGCTCCCTGTGATGGTCACCTGGGGTCTAAATTACTCAGCACGGCCTTCAGGGCTCTCCAGACCCTGGGCCTGAGGCAGTCTTAATGGGGTGCATCTGGCAGCGCCCAGGGTGAAGGGCAGGCAGCACTGCCGTTACCCAGAGGGTCTTGCTTCTAGCTCAGCCCTCTCATCACCTGGGAGCTTGTCGGGAATACAGATTCCTGGGCTCCCCCCCAGGCCCACTGAATGAGAATTTCTAGGGGAGAAGCCCAGGAATCTGTGTTTTATAAGCCACCCAGAAGCTTCCGCTACTAACGTTTGAGGAGCGCGTGCTAGACAGACAGAAAATCCAGCTCTGTCTTGAGCGGTCCCAGGTTGCTCAAGCCCGGGAGCCGGAGCATTGCCAGGATCCCTCCCTGAGTCCGGGTCCTGCTAGGCAAAGCTGGACGGTTTCTTCTGCTGTGAGTGCTCTCGGTGTCTGGGCCGGTGCCCCTGGGCGAGGGTCCCCAGGCGGCTCTGGCCCTGCTGGAGGGAAGGGACAAGCAGAAACTGGGGCAGGGGGTGGGGCAGGGATCAGGCACTCTTCTTGATTTCATTCGGATTATCTTTCTCACCTTTCATCAGCCAGGTTAAAAATAAGGCTGGTGGTTCAGGGATAGGGGCAGGGTCTGAACCCCAGGGGAGCCACTTCCGAGGGCACCCACCCCCTCACCCATAGCTGCCCAGGGGTCTCCCCCAGGCACGGATGGCTTTTTGGGGCCGAAGACTTTCCCCTGAAACCACACCTTTGCTCAGGCTGTCCCCCCTCCTGGAATGCTCTTTCCCCCCAGCTCAAGACCCTTCTACCTATGGAT